CGCTGAGGGGGCACAGGAGGGGAGGGAGGGTGGGAGAAGCCCGTTGGAAGGGCTCTCCCTGCCGGCCCTGCTCCCACCCGGGGAAGGGGCCAAAGCCATTGGGCCATGGCGTGCTCTGGGTGCTTCTTGGTCTGGGGAACAGCAGTCTTCCACCGGCTTTGGTGACATTTACGCTTAAACCTGTTGCACCTCGAGCTTGGACCCATGGCTTAATGGCGTGGTCGGTGTGGACCCAGGCCCAGGGCTCGCGGAGCTGGTGCTCGGAGGCAGCCGGTGAAAGGTGGAGGGCTGGGGAAGCACTGCAGGCTTCTGTATCCCTGCAGGTACGCAGCCTTCGCCCTCAGCCTGGCCCGAGGTGTGAGGGGTGTACCTCGCCCCCTGCTAATTCGCAGGGGATTTGTCTCTTCTCTCCCTCATCGGGTAATCCTGTACTTGGAGAGAAATAGGAAGCAGGGCCCCTGCGTTTTCAACTCCACTGAGCTGAAAAAGGAAGCCAGTGATGTGGAAATTAGGTTAAACCGCCTAAGTAGGCAGCTTTCTGCATGTCACTAATCTGGCTGCTGCATATAGCAGCACTCAAGTGAATCCCAGTCCGGTGGGTAACTCTGGGACAAACCCAGGCTCCTCTGCTTGGTTCGCAGGCCAGGGCGGGAGAGAGGGGATGGAAAGTGAAGGGAAAAATAGGATGTGGAGGAGGATGTGAAGCAATTCTCCTCCATTGAACTGGAGGAGCAGGTCACCTGAGCTGAGGGCTGCACTTTAGGTCCTGAATGAGACAAGGGGAGCAGCAGATAAGAAGCTGGACTCAGATGTCATCTTTAAGACTTTGGCTGCTGTAAATTAGATGCCAAAGTCACCATCCCTTTGAGTAACCCACTGCTGTTCTCTAGAGCTATCTACACACCTCTCTCTGTTTCCCTGTTGAACAGGGGTGCATGGGCTTGATACTGTACCTGCAAGCCATGCCAAGACCAGACCACTGGCCTGGCAACACATCTGTGCTGGGATATGAGCAGCAGCTGCGAGCATCCAGCTGTCGTTCAGGTGATGGCTTTCAAAAAAGGAGCGACTGATCCCTGAGGTCACATTAAATGGTCCAGGTGAGAACGGGATCCTACATATTGCAGGGCTGCGAGGGGCAGAGGCTGGATGTCGGAGTGGTGGGCAGGAGGGGTGACCAAGGAAATACCAGCTGCCGATCTATCCAGGTCGACTGGAAGACTGCACTCAGTCTCACTGCACAATTCCCTCCAGGTACTAATTAACCCGTGCTTCATTAAACAGGCTATTATTAGAGTGGTGCTTGGAGGAGAGCCCCTGGGACATGTCCAACTTCAACTGACAGCAGCAGCCCCAAAGCATTGATGAAGATGCCCTAGTGCTGGCATCTTCACTGCCTGTTGGCAGGAGCAAGAGCACATTGAGGAGACAAGCGTCCTACCTTCCTTTATGCTCAAATACATAGGGAAAAGTGGCGCAGGAGCTAATGGTTCAGAGCTTTGGCTCACTAAACCTAATTAAGGGTTATGCAGAGGGGAATTTGGCAGTGGTATTTTGTGAAGAACTAGATACTGCTTCCTTGTCATGGGCAGTTGCCTGGCAGGTATGAGGAAGGTAGTTTATTGTTTACCTGCTGGGGGCACAAGGAATGAGAGTTGACGCTCTAGACTGGTGCCATTAAGAGCTAACACATAAACAGAGAAAAACAGTGAATGAGGAGCAGCTAGAGTGAGACTAGATGCAGGAAGGAAAATGAATGGGAGAAAAAACAGCCTACTTGTAACCCAAAACACAACTACAGTGACAATTAGTGCAACAAGGATGGACTGTAAGAAGGGTTGGACTCCCAGGTATTGCAGAGGAGAGGAGGAGGTCACAGATGCTTTAATATACATTTTATCTTCCTCTTTCTAACCTGACAACTTTATACATTTATTTCAGCTTTAATAGAAAGGGGCTTACACAGTTCTCACAGAGCTACCCTTCCTCAAAAGGGGAAGGTGATCGGGGAATTATTTCAGATTTGCTGCAAGGGAGGGGGGAGAAAATTACTTTAGATTTGCGGCAAGGGCCATGGCAGGAAACAAAGGCAGAGATAGTCTGGCATGATAGGGCTGTAAGGCTCGTCCTGATAACTAGAGGACTTGAGTAAGCACCGAGAGGTGCCCTCCCACAAGGACTTTACTAAGGCTGTGCGCTCAGCATTCTCCCTGGAACTGCAGCACACATGCACTTCCCTGCAAAAGTGCATCCCTCCCTGTCAGCAAAAGGAGACGCTGAAGCTCTCAGCAGAGTGCTGAATTTCTGGCAGTACAGAACAATTCAGCCTCCAGCTGCTGCTGCGCAGAGAATTAATCAGGGCTGAAGAACTTGAGCAGAGCAAGCCCCACAGCTTCCGAGAGGGTGGTTGGTTGTCACCCTGGTCATCTGTCCCCAGCTGACATGACACACACGCTGTGCAGGGGAAGCGTGAAGAGTTTGCTCGCTGCTCTCTCCTGTGCTTTGAGTGAAAATACAGAGCACAGCTTCATCCCTCTGATGCAGCTAGGTGTGGGAGGGGAGCACAGCTCTTCTCCGACAGCGTCTGTAGATCAGCAGTGATTGATAGCATTTGGCACAGAATGATTTTTCTTCTTGGCTGGACTTATTCTAGTGACAATTGCCTCTTTCTCCTTCCCTTCCCCTCTGCCCGTGCTTGGAGAGTTTGCGCTAAGAGAAAGACCCATTCTAGGCTGCCAGGGCAAGAAGTGCAAATTAGAAGCCAGCCTCCTGTGGAGTTATAAAGAGGGAAATACTAGAGTCATTCAGCATTACAAACTAACACTTCCATTTTGTCAAGTTTGAAAGTAATGGAAATTCTAGGAGCTTAAAGTTGTTCAATCGGTCCAAAAAAAAAAAAACAAAGGGAGACTACTAGCCCCAATAATTAATTTGATTCCCCCAAACAACTTGCTTGGTGTGGTGTTCTTTAGCCAAAGTAAGTTTCCCAAGGGGGTGGGGGGGGCAGGAGAAGAGAGCAAGGGAACGTGTCTATTATGCGTGCGTTTGTTAGCAGACAAGCTTCTTGCTCTTGGAAGGGGAACAAATTATGAACTCAGGAATAAGCAAATAGTGCAAAGTAGGTCTCTGACTGAAAATGCGCAAGTCCTACCCAATGAGATTTTTGTTTTAACTGTAGCAGATGACCAGCCTGGCGACAGTAGCTGGCGCTATCTTTCTCTCTTTCATCGCACCTTGGCACTAGTTCAAATGCCACTACAGCTGCATTCTCTCCCACCAATATAAGCAAGGGGCCGAAGAGTGCAGTTCTGACATGCTGTCTGCCTTGTGCACAGCTAACTTGCGGGTACACCAAGACAGGGAAATATCTTGGGTTTTTTTCCAGCCCGAGCATAAGGATGAACTTCTCTGAGGAGTGGCTTCTCTCCTCCAGTCATCCAGAGCTCCAGGGAGAAGAGAGAGAAGGTGTAAGCCAGCTAGCAGCTAACAACTTTCTATTCTTGGACCAGTACAAGTCTGAGTAGTGAGGGAAGACTACATCTGAACTACGCAATTGTGAGTTACTGCAGTGCAAGTAAGCCTAGGCTGGGCTGCTCTGCTTCCCCTTCCCCATCCTTACTGACGCTTTCCTGCGTCAGTAGGCTGGAGATAAATGTGCCAACTATATTACGACTGTACACCCCCCCATTTCTCCCCTTGTTTAACGGGAACGCTGGAGAAAAGTTTGCCGGAGACTCTCAAGGCTCCAGGAGTCCTTCAGAAACAAGGCCTAGACTCAGCTTGAAAAGCCAGAGAGTACACAGCAGACTCTGTCTGCGGGAGCAGGATGCCGCTCCTGCTCAGAGCAACGGGGTGACAGTCCCACGGCTGGCAGACGGGAGAGCAAGCTGCGTGAGCGTGAGCTGAGGTGAACTGGCCTCTTCAATAGAAATATCCACAGAAGACCAGGCACAAACATGCTGCCCCTGCAGTCAGAACTGCTGCCCCACAGAGCAACACGGGCAGAAGGGTGATAAGAACAATAGGTGCTGTGGAAGCACGGGGACAGATAGTTTCTGACACACACAGGAGAAGGGACGGTGAGGTGAGATAGCAGCTTGGAACAAGTGAAAAGAGCGAGATCGATCTGGAACATGACATGGAAGAGAATGTGGTTAAACTTTGTGCTGTTCCTGAAAATCTTCAGAGAAACTAAAGCTGCTGTGCCTTTTGGGCTACGGAAAAAGTGCCCAAAACAGGCCACGTATCAGAGAACATTTGAATTAGGACAGCAGAAAATTGCAAAAAATCCTGCTTTTAGTCTAGGAGGGGACAGATAAAGGTGTAGAGACGCAACACCACTCTTCCATTACACCAGGAGGCTCAAATGTA